AGGCCACTGCCAGGTGCTGGCCGGGCACCGCACCTTCCGGCAGCAGGGCAAGGGCTCCATCCTCATGTGGAGATACCTGCAGTACCTGCGCTGCCTGCCCTTCGCCCGGCGCGCCCTGCTCATGTGTGAAGATTTCCTTGTGCCCTTCTACCAGAAGTGTGGTTTCAAGGTGCTGGGTCCCTGCGAGGTGACGGTGGGGGAGCTGGCCTTCATTGAGATGCAGCATCCCGTGCAGGGACATGCCTTCATGCGCAGGAACAGCGGCTGCTGAGCCCCCTCCAGTCCAGCCCTGCCGGGGGGGCTGGAGAGAGGCTGCCGGGGGGGGGAAATAAGAGGCTGCAACTCCTCTCCATCCCCGCCACTGTATGCACCTTCCCCGGCTGGCCCTGGCTACAGCTACTCCCTCTGCCACATCTGCCTTCCAGCCAGGAGATCAGCCTGGTTCCATCCCAGCCTCACAGGGCTGGGGACAAAAACCTCCTGCCTGGCCCCACTGGAAGCACCGACCCCCTGGTCTCTGCTTTAGCTGGGGCTGTGCTGGTAAGCCTGGGTGGGCTGCAGGGCCACATGCCCCACGGGGATGGAAAAGCGTTGCCCTAGGAGCAGCTGGGTGGGCTCTGCTGATTCAAGGGCGCTCACAGCCACGTTTTGCTGAGACACCCAGCAGGGCCCATACATACATGTGCACCCAGCCCTGCACCCCCTCCCACCACCAACACCATGAGGTGAAGCCCACCATGGCCAAGCCCTCCCTGAGCAGCTCCCAGACCAGGCAAGGGTCCCAGCAGCCACCCGGCTGCCTGCAGACCCCCCCCAGATCCCTTTGGAATGCACCCCAGCCACATGTTGCAGAGCCTCCCTGGGGGGCCAGTCCAAACCAGTCCACCCCTCATCCCCCCAGACCCATGACGGGCCCAGGACAAACCTTCTGCAAATGCCTCAGGCTGTTGTGAAGCAGCAAATAAAGATGTGGTGGTGGTTTTCTACGTAGCCCATGTGCGTTCCTGCCCTGCTTCAACCATAACCTTGCCGCGACAGCCAGAGGGAGGGCACCAGCTGGCATGACCGGAGCCATCCAACACCCCTTGGGGCATCTCAGCTTTGGGGGAGATGGGGCAAATCCAGCCCCGGGTCATTCGATGAAGGGTAGGAGACAGGCAGGGGTAGCTCTGCCCTTGGGCAGGGTCAGGAGGCTCCTTGGATCTTTTTGCTCCAGGCGTTTGGTTTCCCCTTCTGCTCAAGACCCTCCAAACTCTGTCCCCGCCTCCCAGAGAGGGGTTTGAGGGGTACTGGGGGACAGCGCAGCCCTGCAAATCAGGGCGCTGGCCCCAGGCACTCTCATCTCTGCCTCTCCCTGCCACACCAACCACCACCAAAACAACAAGAACCCCCTGAAAGTGCCACTTCCCCATGCTCAAGAAGGGAGAAGAGGCCTTGTGAGTCTCATTAAATACAGGTAGAAATTTATTAAGGAAGAAAAAAAACCCCACAGCTTTTAAAAAAAAGTATCAAAAAGAGACAAATGAGGTGAAGTGTCTTCCTTTGGCTGGAGCAGCACCAGAGGGACAGAGTGGGGCCGAAAACTGGCCTGTGGTGCAGGGAGGGATGCAGGTGCCACAGAGCTCCTGGAGTCACCTGGGGAAAAGCAGCCCCTCCACTCCAAGTCCTGCCTCTCCACCCAGCGAGGAGCCCACGTGGGGAAGCACGAGCCTCCTTCCATGGCCTCAGGGGAGCATCAGATGCGAGAGCAAGACTGAAAAATACCTTCAAAGCTCAGCTCTGAACACCTTGGAGCCGTGGCAGAGGCCCTGGGGAGCCCAAAGCGGGGGAAACCCTCTGTCTAAAGAGCTGTGGATAAAAAAGAGTGCCCCTGCAAAAAAGGGGGTCATGTTCACAGTATGAGCTGCAGCGCCCAGGAGCACCGAGGTGGGACAGGGCCCTAGGCAGGCAGGGGCACAGGCAGGAGACCTCAGCAGCTTCAGCCGCTGGGCCAGGAGGCCAGCCTGGCCATGGACGCACCAATATCCTCCTTCCTTCAGCCCTTTCCCCATGCAGGCAGCAGCTGGCGTCAGTCCCCAAACCAGTTATGGCTTTTCAGTGCCAAGAGGCAGCCCTAAAGGGGTGCAAGGTAGGGTTGGCTCCAGCCCCGCTCCCCGCTGCATCCTCAGCGTTTAACAGGGGTGAGCCCAAACCTGCCAGCCCTGAGAATGAAGCCGTGCCCAGGATCTGCCCCATCCTGGAGCAGCCACCGTCTCCTGCAGGCTGGTGAAGACCCCCCCCCATGGAAAGCATCACCGCTGGTGCCGCTCCCAGCCCCATCCCTGCCAGCGGGGTCAGTGCAGGACCTGCTCCAGCTCATACTTCTCACAGAACTTGCTGGTGAAGGGCAGGCAGGTGAGATACTCCACCCAGCGCCAGTTCACGGGGTAGACGTAGAGCCAGACCACCAGCGAGGCGAAGAGCCCCACAAAGACCAGCAAGGAGACAATGATCATGGCTCGCTTGCGGTACTTGTCCACCGTGCCGAAGGTGATGTAGGGCAGGAAGGCGAAGGAGAGCAGGAGGCCACTGAGGAAGCCAAAGAGGTGAGCGATGTTATCGATCCATGGCAAGAGGCCACAGACAAAGAGGAAGAGGACGACGCCGAAGAGGTTGAAGAAGGCTTTCCAGGGTTTCTCCAGCACTTGCCAGCTCTGGAAGAGCTCCACGAAGAGGCAGGCTAGCAAGCCGAACTGGGACCCAGCAGGGCCCACCTGTGGGGATAGGGGAAGTCATGGCCAGACCATGCGTACGTCACACCGGCTATGTCCCACATCCCCAGGGACTGTCTCCTCCTCCCCTTGCAAAATACATTTGGCTCCTGCAACCCTCCGGGGGCTGTGCTCCAGCAGTGCAGGGCTCAGAGCTGGGAGCCCTGGCACGGGAGGAAGGGGAGCACTCTGGGATGGTTTTGGCAGAGCTGGTGCTTTTGGTGACTCAGCAGCCAGGCAGCATCACCCCCTCCCAGGCCACAGCCCTCCCCCCAGCCTCATCCCAACACACCCCCAGGGTGGATTAGGGTGCTTGGCGTGATCTCATTTAAAGCCTGGCATGGTTTCACTGCCAGCAGATTAGCCATCTGCCCGCCCGGGGACCCCGCACACACACCGACACGTGGTGACACGTGACCCACGCGGCATGTGCAAACCCCACACGTGGGGCAGAG